CCGTCGCCAACTCTCCACAGAGACTGGGTACCCTCGAGAGAATTGGCTAATGACAAAGGATACTGCCCTGCTGACGAGGCTGTCAAGGCCGAAAAACGTGTATCGGGTTCTCTATGTTGCCCTATAACAGACCACACGTATGGCTCAAAAAATGATTATCAGGCATATTTTCCAGTGCTCCTTAACATTTAATAAGAGCCATACGAGAAACTAGATGTATTCTTGTCACATTCCATCCATAATATGCAGATTTTTTGTTCAGCTAAGGTTCTCGAAGGATACCTACCATCAAGGAGCAGACAGTATCCAAACGCGAAAAGCTTTTATCAATAGCATTACCCGCTTCACACAATCAGTATCTGAATTCCAATTTACCGATACTTCTAATATTTGATTCGTCTCTCCGTTTTGCCTTCTTCATGAACTTCATAGATTACTGGTTGGGCAGATCTTGCAATCTCGACGTTAGCCAGGCCGAGCGTGGCTAAGAGCGTCAGTTAATTGGCTGTAGAAAAATTTGGGGACAAAGGGGACTAAACCCGCAACGAGCATCACTAACTACTCAGTCACCGCCTCGCCAGAGCCGGCGATTCTATCTGATGAAAACGTGGAAACATATCATAAAGGTTATCTCAGAATTTCATAGAAAATCTCATTCTACTAGTAGTCGATTCGAATGTCAATGTAGACAGAAGTCATGACATACTCTAGTCAAAACCAAACTGAGTTACTGTGCCCATTAATCTATCTGCGCTGGCTATGAAGGTCTCAAAACAATGGTTTAAGTAAAAGGAGTACGTAACCCAGATGACAAGTGGGGACGGGCCAGGCTACCATCTCTAACCCATCGGGGACGCCTATGACACGCCGCCAGCCCAGAGCCGCGCGCGTCGAGTAATCCATAGTGCCGAGTGTTTGGTTAAGCAGCTTATCGGGGAGAAGGCAGTGGTTTGATTTCTCCCTCGACACTTCACAGCAGACTTTTTGGTGTTAATTGGTAATGAAGGTTGTTCTACAGACAAAATTATCATAACAAGGAAAAAGTTTAGCTTTCCATAGAAATCACCACTTCTTGATAGAAAACTTATATCCATGGAGGAATAACGCAAATCCACTTTTTTTTTGCATTTATTTCGATGACGTTGCAGAAGTCGGATTTGAAACACATTTTCCATTGTGTACTTTTTAGAGATGCATATCTGTCCTTTGAAATGACTCGCGGTGGCCTCCCGCTGAACCGAGTCAGTGCTGTTTATCCCCGCAGACAAGTCTGAGACCAGTCTGGTAACAATTTACCTACCCCGGAGGGATGGATAACTTGGGGAGCCATGAGCGCGAGACGAAGCATTGACCTTGTATGGGACGCAGAGCACCTCAAACCACTGCGCCACATGCGCTATACATAGTAGGTTAAATATAGATTGAAATGCAAACGAATGAACATGATAAAAATAAGTTTTCTCAAGGCATATTCAAAACACACATTATATAATGGCACGGTTTTCCTAATTAAAATAATCCAAAGCAAATTTTTGGCTAGACTTACATCATCGTGGCGAGCTGCAAGTTCGTCCAAAGCATCACGCAGTAGAGCCTGCTCTTCAAATGTGAATTTAGCCGCAATCTTAATAAATGTGAAACATTAAGAATGAAGAGAACGTGAAAAGTAGTAACATCTAAGAACATGGAATAACACGCAAAACAGTGGACTTCGAAAGGAGCTTGAAAACCACATTTTACGCTTTCCGGCGTTGTGCGCTAACCACTGCACTACCGAGGGCCCTGTTCTGCTACCACTCCTTCACTCAAAAAATGGTAGAATACTGATTCAATCACCTCTAGTGCTGCCTCATTGTCTTTGATATGAGGCCTGTCCAACGAATGAAAAGCACCAGTGGTTGCGGATCGTTTGACGACTGACCATGCACCGACTATAGGACGGACAGGACACGCCGTCGTACTACTTGCATCACATGAAGCGGCCGCGGTACTGCCGATTCGTGATGCAAGCCGCCTGGCCGACGCCAACAGGCGCATGCGCTAAATTCTTTTCTCTTACAGAAATTCTTATTCAGGTTAGCAGATCAAACAAGCGATCGATTTAAGACTTGAGTTTTACAGAACAAGCAGAGAAGAGAACATCTCAACTCAATTACAGATGTAAAATCTAAACAAACTCTTCGTTTCCACCGATTTCTGCAACGTCATTATGTTCTAGCCATACATCGAAGACTGTTGAATGGTATGCAAAACATTCGACCTCGGGCGGGAGTTGAACTCGCACTTCACGCGTATCGCAGGAAAAGAGCGGTGAGGCGTGCTATACAGCCTAAGCCTAGCCAGACCCCCGCCAATGTGACTGGAACGCGGGTTCAACTCCCGCCTGCCTAGAATGTTTTGCATTCCACAGAAGTCTTAGATGTCAGATAGAATGTTTCAAACTTTTCCGAGGTCTGGTATGGTATATCGGTGGTTACGTTCCAGCGTTCCCGCACACCTTACCAATAGCACACGTCTGTTACTCTTAACAGTCGGCGCCGAATATAAATCACTCTAAGCGAAATGAAAGGATCACTTGATGCTGTGGTCTAGATCGATTTAGAGTCAATAGCATACGGCTATTATGTAAGCATATAACAATACCTTCCGATCGACTAGAACAATGGAAAATATACCTATTCTTTTCCAATGTTTTCTTGAGATCACGTTCAGATTCTAATAAGCCTGATAACACACTTTTTAAGCCATGCATGTGATCTTTTACAGGGGTACTTGTAGGGCCGATACACGTGTTTCGGTCTTAGGTATACACCCGAAACGAAAGATATGATATATCTAACGATACCAGCCGAGAGTAACTGAGTGTAGAACACTGGCTATCTGGTGATATTTTCACTTAGTGGGACTTTTAAATAACTCGTCTACTACAACTCTATGTGAGGGGTCGGGTTTCCCTGAGATGATTGGATAAAATGAAAAACGAAGGGCACTGCCCGGTTGACGAGGCTGCCAAGGCCGAATCACGTGCTCGGGCTGTACAAGTGCCCATAACAGACCACATAAATGGCTCAAATAGTAATTAAGAGCCATATTAAATTCTGAGCGTGGTTTTAACAAAGCATATAACAATACCTTCCAATCGACTAATCGAAACTTCTCTTAAAAATTCAATATAAACATACACCATTCGAGACGACATTCCACATCTCTTAAAAGACGTAATCCATACTATAAGCTTATGTCGAATTTTGAACGAGGTCTCAAGATAATCGATTGCAAGTTATTGTCATATGCTTGTGTAGATATCTGATGTAAAAATCAATAACATGTGTAGGTGGAACAGGGTGAAAATACTCGGACTATCAGGATAGGACTATACTAAAAACCTCGGCATAGAACGAATTATTTAGTACTTTTATAGATGAGCCAATGAAAAGTTGCTCAGCAATTATATTATTTCGTGCGTTTCCTTAAGACCACGCTCAAATTTCAATATGCCTGATGATTATATTTTGAGCCATGCCATACCAGTCAAAAGCAATCGATTGTAAAAACTCTGCCCATCTGGTGATTTCTTCTTTCACTTAACGGCACGTCTAAGTAGTACGTCTGCAAAACCCACAATAGGATTGGCTAAGAAGGAGAGTACTGCCCAGCTGACGAGATTGTCAGGGCCAAAACATGTGCATTGGGCTCTATAAGTGCCCATAACAGACCACATACATGGCTCAAAATGTGATATATCAAGTCATGAATTAAAGGATAAAAACTCTCGGCGTTGATCAATCCCTGAAGGATGCGCCATGCATTCGTATTCAATTTTCAACTTCTTTGAGGTGACTAGATGCATATCTGGCATTTGCAATGACTCGCGGTGATCTCCCGCTGAACCGAGTCAGTGCTGCCTATCCTCCCAGACAAGTCTGAGACCAGTCAGGTATGAATTTACCGACTCCGGAGGGATGAATGGCTTGGTGAGCCACGAGCGCGAGATCGAACCATTAACCACGTGCGCAACACAGAACACCTCTAACCACTGCGCACATGAGCTCTTCATCAAGGATATTGAAAAATATTTTATTGCTCTGAGAGGTAGGCAACTGCTCATCAAGAAAAACACCGAGAATGCGATTTTTATGTGAGGGTTCCAAAGATCGCTAGCAAGCCCGCACGAGTGACAGAAAGCACCATCATATGTTGAGTTGTGTAAAAACTTCGTGCCGTTTCCGCTTCTGATATGATTTTTGCATTGAAATAGTATGACTTTCGTATCGCTCAAATGCTCATTTTTCTTGCGAACATTTCGGTATACAACTCAGCTATACAAGCTTTAGGGATAAACTTATCTTGGGATCAAATTCGTTTGCTACTCATGATCGAATGGCGCGGCGGGTAAGACTGGCGGAGCTTGGGGCGATGATAGGGTTGCAGAAAGCAGGGCTAGGAAAGTGGTCGCAAAGTTCGATGCTGGAAAGAACAGTCTGGATGATGAGTCCTGCTCAGGCCGTCCACAAGAGGCTCCCACTGACCTAGCGCACCGCCTCACTAGCATTTTTCCTGCGTGCCATTCATTCTTGAGTAGCAAGAGAATTTCTCCAAACAGCTTCCTCTTAAAGTCAGTATAGACAAGTTCTATACCAAAATGTTCGCAAGAAAATGCGCAATTGAAACGACACCAAAATCATGCAATTCTATTGCAAGAATCATATCGAAAAAACCAACACGACAGGAACTTTTACACAGCCTGGAAGAACGAAAATTTGCTGAAGATCTGGATAATTAAGGAATTGAATATTGAGAGACAACCAAGCTTTCAAAGTAAGAATTCAACCTCTTTCTATGATTAACTCTTTCTCGACAGTTCTTATGAACAATTTCATAGAAATCCTCAAACTCGTCAAAATACTGGCGAGACGAAAATACTAAACAAAGAAAGAGACAAAAGCTCTCGAAGTTGAGCAATTACTGAGGACTGCAATGTGCAACGATGTGCAAAATGGGCGTCAGTAGTGTAACGATAGAGCACGCATCCGCGGAAAGAGTGAGGTGCGGGTTCGAGTCCCGCCTGACGCGAAAGTTTTGCACATCGCTCTACTCTATGGGTATCTACTGGAAACTAAGGAATGCGCCAAGTATTCGACTTCACAGAGCTTCGTTAGAAATAAGCGAGGGCATCTCTAGCCTTTACAATGACTCGCGGCGGTCTACCGCTGTATCAAGTTAGTGTTGCTATCCCCAGACCAGTCTGGCATCAGATGAGCGACCCTGGATGATGGAAGCTTGCTGAGATTTGAAAGCTCACCTACTAGGATTCACTAACGAAGAAGTACGGAACCGACAAACAGATGCCGTGAAAGATCGATGTGTAGTCTTCCAAGATCAATAAACAGCATAGATAACATCCAAAGATGCTGATCTACTATGCAAAGTTTCCAGCTACAGGCCGATGTAGAATAATGTTAGTATGCGACCCTCGCATGGGTTAACTGCGGGTTCAACTCCCGCCCGAAGTCGAAAGTTTTGCATATTACTCCACATTCTTGGATATATACATATACATAATACGTATGTACGTACGCACATATATATATGTATATCATACATATATATAAATTTATATATAATGTATAAGGAGCGCATGTGGCGCAGTGGTTAGAGGTGCCCTGCGTCGCACACGAGATCACTGGTTCCATCGCGCGCTCACGGCTCACCAAGCCATCCATCCCTCCGGGGTCGGTAAATTGGTACCAGACAGGTCTCAGGCTTGTCTGGGAGGATAAGCGGCACTGACTCGGTTCAACGGGAGGCCACCGCGAGTCATTGTAAAGACCAGATGTGCATTCAATCACCTCAAAAACGAAGTTAAAAATTGAAGACGAATGCATGGCGCATCCCTCAGGAATTGATCAACGCCGAGAGCTTTATCCTTTAGATATATATAATACATATATACATATATACATATATATATATACATATATATGTATACAAATATATACATATATACATATTTATACATATATATATACGTTATATATATACATATGTACATATATACATATATATATGTATACAAATATATACATATATACACACATATACATATATATATACACGTATATATATATGTATACATATATATATATATATACGTGCATACATGCAGTTATAGAACCAAAACACTGCTGTTAGAGAGCAAAAGTGGACACTTTCGTAGATCATAAGACCAGCATCAACGCACAACTTGTAGATCACGAGAGCCCATAAGTTGATGAGACAAAAAACGAAGACACAAAACAATGGGAGCTATCGGAGACGCACTGAGATGTTAGCCGGATCAACTAAAGATTAGTTTATCACACGTTTCCATGGGAATTAAGTGATGAGACATTCTCAGAAGGCCTCATCAAGTCCGGCACATCTAGAAATGAGAAAGAGACATACAATCACGTATTCTTTCTTTGTTACTAGCCATTAGTAGTAGGAGTGAGCCGCAGGGCATGTGGCACTGATGAGGCGTGCAAGAAAGCTGAAACGGTTCTTTTCGGTTATGAGGAGACAAATGAAAACCCGACCTCATTCGCTGGACAGGAGCTTTTCATAGAAGTGTTAGTAACCATTGGCAGATGTCTCAGCTTGCGAATGGCTCCTAACACTTCTATTAAGAGTTCCTGCCCAGCGAATGAGGTCGGCTTTTCACTTGGCCCTTCAAGACCGCAAAAGAACCGCTGAAAACGTATGCACAACACTGGAGAGGCCATGCGAGATCTCTGGAAGGCTTAGAACATTCTAGGAGACTATACCGGATTTCAGAGCGAAGTCTGAAACATATAATTGATTGGAATGTGTTGTCAAAAATTCCTTGTTGATTATGCCAATAGCGCGTAAACAAAGCCAATAAAAAGAGCAGGAGATAGCCAACAAGGATGAATACAACATTTCAGCAACTCTTTTTAAGACGTAGACTAAATTTATACGTCATAGTGCCCATAAATGAGAAGTACAGTTCACTGATAAGGCCAAAACAGTACAAAGAGCAATGAGACTCTCAACACAGCCGTATAAATATTTATTCACGATCCAATGTCAATATCTGTTATCGTGCCCTTAATACATCCCTCTTCCATAATTGGAGTGACCACGATCACCATAATAACCTCGATGAAATCCACGACCTTGATCTCTGTATCCTGAGTTGTCATACGACCTGCGATACTCGTTTTGAGTCTGCAAAGCACTCTATAACGTAACATATCAAAATCACATAGCAGAGAGCCTCTGAAACGTAATTCTGTCTATTTTTGTACTCTATTTTACACGACCGTTCACCACAGTAGGAGCGTGTGAAGCGCAGGATTAGAGGTGACCTGCGTCGCACACAAGGACGATGGTTCGATCTCGCGCTAATGGTCACCACGGCCTTTATACCTCTAGGCTTGGTAAAATGGTACCAGACTAGTCTGAGAGGTCAGCAGCACGGACGGTAGGTTACCGCGAGTCATTGCAAAGGCCAGAAATGCATGCGATCACCTCAAACGAAGCCAAAAATTGAAGACGAATGCACAACGCATAAACCCCAGGGATTGTCATCGCTGATTGTTTTATCCTTTATCCAATATCACCTCAATTTACTTTGCGGATCTCGACACTCTTACATTGGGATTGTTTCCTCGGATTCACCTTCCATAAAGGTCTCCAAACATTTCACGCATTACTTCGGCTGTTGCTTGGAGATTTTGTCTTCTTCACCAATGTTGAAGAACCTTGGCAGAGCAAACTCTTTGAGGGATCGAACCCACTTTCCTGCCATATCGCACGCCTCACTTATCACTAACCACTGCGTCACTCCACCCCTGTCCTGCTTGTTTAAGTTTCTATAAAATGTTATATATGAGCTTCTCATTGATTAGCTTTCCTTCCAAATTAAGCCCAATCGTTCCCTCTATTCATATTGTTGAGTTTTATGGGCACCGTCTCTTTTTCACTAGGACTCCGTGAAAACACAATATCATGAGCAAACTGAAGGTTTGATAGAATTTATCATGACCCCGCATGTCTCTTTGGGCCTCACTGGGCTATTTCATTATCCGCTGTAATGTTTGAGATAACAGCACTGATGAGGTTTTGCTTTGTCGAACCACTTTCCTTATTGAGATGCTGACCCCTGAGGATCGCGTGTAGAGTCTTGAACACACTATTATTTAGAGGCTCAATTCAGCCTATAAAAAACCATATCACTAGACTTCCAAAAGGCCTGTGATAGCCTAAAAAAACGGCGATCTCAATACCACAATTGTTTCTGAAGAGGCCTTCCTAGCACGCTGTCGCAGAAAAAAATCAAATTTAACCTTTCACATGGGTTAGATGCTCTGCTTTCAGTGTTAAGCTTTCCAATAAGCTTTTTGCAATCAGTCGATAGCTTGAAAAACGAAATCCAAACAATATGCTCGCTTTCTCGAAAGGTTTTCATAGTGCGCTCATGGAAAGAAGACTACGTCTCACACTTGGATGACTGCGTAGTAAAAGAGCGCCTTTCATTACACAAAAGCGTTTATACGCACAAAAAAAAAACATAAGGGAATATATCGAGAAACGTTAGAGCGTCGAAATAATACGACAAACCTAGAATAATCTCCAAAACAAAGAAACCACCACAAACAATCTATTAAAATCGCCCAACACCCACGAATCACTCTGCACGCAGTGATTCTAACTGTGATCCCCAAAGAGTTAAAGATAACCTCCTCGGGACCGTAGGCCCGCCTCCTCTGCATCTCTGACCTCCAACGTGTGAACACATTGAATTTATTATTGTATTACTGTCGTTATTTTCCTATTTATAACAACATAATGCACCTGCATATAGCATAACATAGGAAAATAATAACAGTACATTGAATGCGTTCCCACGTTGGGGGTTAGAGATGCAGAGGCGATGGGTCCATAGATTCGGAAGATTTGATGGACAATATGCACTCTTTTCGCATCGCAAAAGGTATTATTTTTATGCAGCTACAACAGAACACCATATTGCAATATTGAAGAAGAAATTTGAGCTTTTAATTAGAAATATTACATCTTACGTGTATCTGCGGTGTTCCATGAACAATGAAAACGGTACAGATGTGAAACATTATGGAATGAAGACAGAACGGGGCACTCTCAGCAGATCAGTCTATGATGACATAGGCACTCACCATCTGTTCCCGAGACACGCCATGTTGTTGATAAAATTGATTCGACGGGCTGCGAATGGAAATCACCATGATACGACGGTTGTGACTGGAATCCACCATGATGAGTCGGTTGCGAATGGAAACTACCACCACCACCACCACCACCACCACCACCACGTCCTCTACCACGACCTCGTTGTGCAGCTGAATTACAACAATCAAGAACTGCCGTACTGGAGAAGAATGATACCCTGAAGTGTAGCTGGCAGATTAAAATAGTATGTTTACGAAACAAAACGAAAAGAAAATGGCCAAAGTCTTAGACCCTTTCTAAGAAACAGTTCCAGCAAAAAGCATCACAAGGCAATATCTGGCTATTTTCTGGAGCTACAAAGTCTTTATTCAGAAGAATCAGTGCGCTTCGCAATATATTTCACTGAATGTTCCTGTTGGTTTGGGAAATTATTCTCGAAGTCAAGAGAATCCCATGATCCAGACATTTCGACTTATAATGAAGATTTTAAGCCATTGCAGAGATTATGGAGCGTTTCAGTAAACCACAACCATATTTGCAGAGCAGTGGAAATTGTTGGCATTCAGCTAATAATGAACTTCCACTTGAAGGCATCAAAACTTCTTAAGAAACGACACTTCTCGGTACATAAAAGTCACTTGTATATTGTCATTAATACTCCAGAGCACGGTGAAATAGTTGATTTTCAAGAGATATATGAAAAACAAACTAAAAAAATCAGCGGACGGTGATTAGTTTAGTAACAACAATGGAGGCGAACAATATAAAAATTAGGTTTTTGAACTCACATGCCTGTTCCTGAGCTATGTCGCGAATCATTTCATTGGTGCGTCCACCACGATCTGTTGGTCGTTCAGCCAGTG